TTTTGTTTTTATAACAATTGTTTTTAGTCAGTGATGTATACTTAGTTATAGAATAATACTGTTTGTTGAAGGAGATCCTGACTCACTCTTCATCTTTGTTCGTAATTTAAATGTGTTTATGTAACAAAACTCATACGGATAAAAAGTTAATGTTTCAATAATGTGTGAATTATGATTACCATTTTTTAACTGATATGTATGTAGTCGCGTTTTTTGTATTAAATTTCTTATGTTTTGTTAGGTACGTAACATGTAAAGAACTAAAGCAAGCATAATTTTGTATAATTAGGTACGTAACATGTAAAGAACTAAAGCAAGCATAATTAAGTATGACTATAAACAAATGAATGTTTATTTCCATTCCCAATGAAAATCGTTTGAATTATTCTATAAGTGACTTTTAAAGCTATATTTAATACCACGACTGAAAAGTAGGTTTCATTTTTTGTTTCAAATTATTCTCTATAAAAATTGCGGCTCTTACACGAAGAAAAGATTTGATAATAAATAATTCTGAGTCAGTGATGCGCTTGAAATTCACAGATGCCACTTCATCATGTGACATTTCTTTTTAAATGTAATTAAACTTAAGTAAACAGTACAATGTACAAATGTAAAGTAAAGATTAGGTTCCATGGATCAAAATGAACTCATGATAAAGTATATATTTCATCATCAATCATTATTTTTTAATATAATTACACTTTAGTAAACAAGACAATGTATAAATATATAGTAAAGATTATGTTAAAGTGGTCAAAATGAACGTCAGATAACGTACATATTTCATCATCATTCATTTTGCACGTAATTTATTCTTAGATAAACTTTGATTTAGTATGTACACTGTGAAACTGAAATCAAGATACTTGTTTTGTTTTCCAACGTGTCTAACTGTTTTAATTACTTGAATTAAATCGTGTAATAAAACAAAGTCGAGAAATTTCCCTGACTGTCAGGCCAGGCCCGCCGTGAGGTGATAGGCAAGGGGGCATTTTCCCTTGGGCTAGTAATATAATAGGGGCCGGACTTCCCCATTTAGACACATGAAAATTGCAAAATTAAAGTTTTTAGAAAAAATAATGAACGATTTGTGTATTATTTGTACTTTTCTTACGTTATCTCATCATGCAGAAGACATTCGTCAATTGTTTTTAGAAATTGTCGTAGCATCTTCAAACGGAATCACGCTTTAAGTGTTACCAATATGAGCAGGCATGTGGCTAGGTTGTAAAATTTGGGGGAGCAACAACATTTTTTTGGGGGGGAGCAGTTGTAGACGTCAAGTTGTACTGTATTATAACAATAATATAATTTATCACTAGTTAGTTTTTGTGGGTAGCCGCTGTACATGCGCGGCTAACCACTATGCCATGCTGAAAAAGTGTCTGAGTGAGGCAGGCAGTGTTTGTTCGTTGTGATGTCCTCGGCTGTGTCATCGGTGATAGTCGCATATGCGAACGATCACGAATAGAATTGTTTTAAGTAAAGTCAATATTTATGTTGTTCTTTAATTACTTATGCTTTAGAGCGTATAATCTGCACTTTGTTTTAGTGACTATAGTCAAAACCTTGCAGCTGAAAATATAATTCAGTTATACACGTTACTGGTGATTACAGATGTCTAATTAATCTCGTTTGGACAAAAAAATACAAGGCACTTGATACTCTGTGCAGTCCGTACTTGTATTTTGTTCGGTATTTTATTCATATGTCGCGTTGTTGATCTCTCACCCTGTGTTCTGTGTTTTGGTGAGAAAATGTAAAGCAGATAGGAGATAGTTTTCTTTATTTTCATTTCAATTAGTAATGATGACGATTTGGATTTAACAGATTGTCAAAAATGACGAAAAATTTGAATATAAGATTAGAGTCAAGCTATGGTTTTATAGGGGACTACTGCTGTTTAGCAGACACCTTGGACGTTGACTCTAACCCTACCGTATAATCCCAAGAAAAACGAGCCCGCGGTCACAAGCGCTTCGGGTGTCCGCTAAACTGAGTAGGCGAAAATATTATCCTTTTAAGTGTTTTTTGATCGTATCAAGTCTACTATGTTAATGCCTTAATGTAAGATCAATTACTTGGTCATGTCACTAGGCAGTGAACACAATTTTTTTGACAGAAAAAAATTAAGCACACAAGTCTTTATAAATGACTTGTAGTACTATTTTAATTTATCCTTTTAACTTTTGTAAACATTTTGTTTATTTTAAATTACACCTTTTTTCACAAACTCATTCCTCATTTCTAGAATAAAAAATGGTTTCGCTACCTAATAAATTAAAGATTGAAGAAAATTTATCTCGTTGTGCTCATTTTCTCATTGCAAATTGATGCTTTTTGCACAAACTCGTTCTTCATTTCTAGCTTGAAAAATGGCTTCACCACCTCAAAAACTTAAGTTTGAGGCAAACGGATTTCGTTTAAGTAAACTTTTGATCACCTGACGTTGAAAACTTTGATATTTCATTATTGACTGTCTTGTTACATAACATTTATGGCTTAACGGAACCATCTGGTGGATAGAATAATCTTCCTTTCTCTTCAGATTCTTCAAACTCAGCAAACATTGCAAGAATAAAGTTTTATCGAAACAAAGTGTACGGTCACATAACTACAACTAGTGTAGATGATAGTGAGTTTGAGGACTTGTGGCAGGAAATTTCAAAAGCATTGGTTGGTCTCGGTATTCAACAAACTGAAATAAATGAATTAAAAAAAGCTCCACTCAGTCCTGACGAGGCAAATTATCTTGAAATGTTTAAAGAATGTTATGACGAAGAACGACAATTAATCGATGTTGCTGAGAAAACCAACAAAAATGTAAAAGCATTAAAAAAGGATTTTGAAGCTATGAAAAATAAAATAGAAGAAATTGAAAAAAACATGCCAAAAAAAGTTGATGTAACCAGAGTGAGAGAAATGAAACAGGACAAAATATGCCCAGATCTCAAAATTCTTGCAAAGTGTAAGTTTAATGGTCTTATAAAAGATCTTAACAAGAAATACCTTGAAGGCACTAGACAATGGTTATTTGAAAAACTCGACACTTGGTTTAAAGATAAAAGTGAAGATGTTTCTAATGTCATGATTTTGATTGCCGGTCCTGGCGTTGGTAAAAGTATGTTTGTTGCTGAGTTGTGTCGACGATATTTTGAAAAGAAGAAACTTGCTGCTTGTCATTTCTGCAGATATAATAGATCAGATTATAGAGATCCTCAAAATTGATAGAATCATTGGCCAGTAGCATGTGTGATACAATATCAAAATTTAAAAGTAAACTGAATGAAGAATTACAGAGAAACAATTCCCAAGAATCCATGACCGATAAATTCCTTGTTTTATTAAATAATCCGTTGCATTCATTGAAAGATCATAAACCAATGCTTTTGATTATTGAGGCCTTAGATGAAAGCCAAGTTGATTGCAAAAGTGAATTGTTGGAATTAATTGCAGTAGAGTTCAAATGACTGCCTAAATGGATTAAAGTCTTCCTCACAAGTCGTCCAGAACTTTCAGTTCAAAAGAAGTTGAAAGACATGAAAACTGTGGAAATTACAACTAATCCTCGTGATGAAAACAACGAAGAAGACCTGTCCAATTATTTGAGACATCAGTTGAGTCTTCCGGCCGAAAAAAATAGTGATGGTGCTTCCTTGTCAATAGTTAAAATGTGGAAGGGCCTATTTTTGAGACATCAGTTGAATGATCGTGTGCAGAGGAATCGCTACGTTCAATCGTCATTACTTGAAAATGTGAGGGATCATTTCTTTATGCGTATTACGCACAACTGAGCCTGAAAGAAGAAAATACTGAGCTTACTTACGAAAAAATTCAACAGTTGGTCCCTAGTGGGTTAAGCAGTGTTTACACAAATCAATTCGAGACAGTAAAAAAAATGCTGACAGAGAAAAGTCTTTCAACCGGAAATTCAGTTATTTCCGAAGTTATCTTTAAGCAATTTCTCGTAATTGTTGGCTGCCTGTCGGGAGGTTTTACCATTAACTTTACTTTTTAGCCATTTAGGTTTTTCTGGTGACATCATCGAACTGTTATCTCAAATTTTGCCTGTTTACGATGATTGTTTAACCGTATATCACAAATCTCTAATTGATTAGTTGAAATCAGATGGTTACGAACAGCATGAGCTTACAGTTAAGCCAAAAATGGTCATAAGTTCTTATGGCATGCTTGTGAGAAAGAGTTTGGGCAAATTAAGTGTACGAATATTTTTGAAAATCAGATGAACACTGCTATGATTAAATATGCTTTGAAGAATGGAGTCCACCATATGATAGAATGTGGCGAAAATGTCAATGTTAGCTGGGTGGTAGATGTCGAAGTGGTTTGTGCATGGTTAATGGTTGTAGAAGACATTGACATGTATACCATTAGGTTTGAATTGCTTAAAATCATTAAAGAACTACGAACTTTCTTGAAAAAAGATGTACTTAAGGAACTACTATTTCATTTATTAATGACGTCAATGACAATGAGATATGACTCATATGAGTTTGATGATAGCTTATTTTATTTACAAATTATTGCAAACAGAATTGATAGCAAAAACGAAAGAAGATTATTGGCAAGGGATTTATTGAAACAAAGAAAGTTTGTTTGGTTTAAGGATTTAGATTCAACATATGTAACAAACCGTCATCGTTTGACTGTCCGCTTGCGTGCTAACGTTACATCTCTTTGTGTGTCGTCCAATAAAGAACTTCTTACTGTAGGATATGAAAATGGTCAAATATCTATTTTGAATTTCCAGAATTCAAAAAACGATGCATTCTTGGCACTGCACTCGATGACTCAAGGTTGGATAATTGTTATGGTAGATATAGTCCCATGTATGTCCCTGTATAACATCTATGAACATCCGCCACATACGCCGTATGGGGCAGAGGATATGAATTTGGTTTCGGGAAGTATCTGTTGTTGCTTGTTTTCACCTAATGGAAATAGACTGGTAACTAGTGATGGAACTACTGAAGTAAAGTTGTGAGATGTTAACAATGGACGTTTGTTATTATGTTTACAGTCAGATGATGTCGTTAATCGTTGTTCTTTCTCAGATTCTGGTTTGTTTATTACAGCAAGATATGATGGAGTTTCTGTTGAACTTGTGTTCACTGCATGGAATTCATTAACTTTGGAAAGAATTGATCGACGCTGCGTTGTTGATTACCAAAAACTACAATGCACCGATAAATATTCAGAGTTCTTTGGTGCAGAACTCGTCGGTAAATATCCAGAGTTCTTTATTGCAGAATTCTTCGAGTTTTCGTATGTTTTTCAATTCCCAAAGGCAATCGATATTTTTTCAAGTAAAAATAAATATTCACTACCTTTACTTTTAACACAGCATTATCGTGGTTGTATTTTTTATCATATAAGCCAGAATGGAAAGCTTTCTGAAATCACTCAGTTGACAAAATACAACGGTCAAGGAGAAATCGAGTTTTGTTTACCAAATGTTAGGTGTTCATGTATTTATAGGAATCGTAATAAAGTCCATCCCATCTCGTTTAAGGAATTTTACGTTGTGCCGTATTTTTCCAAGCTTAACATTGTCAAAACTGATCATTTTTTGAAATCTTCATTTATTTCTGAGGAATTGAAAATTAAATGTTGTTGTTTTTCTCTGGATGGATCTTTTTTTGCTGCTTTCGCTGTTGGTGACCACGTCAACATTCATATTTGGAGCATTGAACGTTGTACTATTATTCAAACTGTACCAATGCAGCTGAAGAATGCATTAGGATGTTGGTGGTCAGATGGTTTACTGTAGATATGGGACGGTTCTGATCATCTTATGAAGATATCAACCTCGTCTGAAAATTTTGTATATTCTACTCAAGCAAAGCATGTTAACATTGGATTTGAACCTGAAGAAATCTTAACATTTGGTGATGTCTTAGTTTGTTTTGACGAAGAAAAGCTTTTTTAAGTTGTTAGCATTACCAAGGGTGAGATACAATACAACGAAAGACTTCTTGTCGAAAGTTTTCAAATTAAAGCAGCAGCTGTATCACCTGATAATTCTGTTATTTTAACAGTAAACAAAACACAATACACATTATGGAAATGGAAAATACCAACAATGAATTTTACTTAAAAACTTGGCATACAGCAAAAATACCCATAAGGTCTTTTATTGAAGAAGTTGTTGGGGAACAGGAAACTGGAAATGATCTAGAGTTCAACTGCTCTATAAATGATAGTAACCAAGCGGTCATTGCGTTCTTTTTTAAAGACGACAATTTCAACCAGAGAACTGACATTTATGTAATTAATGTGCATAAAAACAATGACGTGAGTGCGATTTGGCATAGTATCAATGAATATTTATGGCGTTGCTCAATCGTACATAAATCATATTTAATTGCTAAATCTCTTGGCACATTGCTTGCTGCAGATTTAAAGAGTGGTAAAGTATGTGCTAAATTTTACGGACCAGATTCTGTATTTAATATACCTATGCATTACAACACAGGAACTTTAGCTTTAGTAACAAATGGTGGATGTGGAGTTAAAGTTTTAAAATTCAATGTACCTGAATGAATCCACTAAATCAAACTTTGTAGTTATATTAATTTATCGTATTTACTAACATCACATATCACTTAAAACAAGCATAAAAGTTCTTTATATCACAAAAGGACAATTATTTATGATAGCAACGAACTCAAAAATATTATAGAAAAAACTGTCCATATCCTTTATTTCAACCGTGGAAAAACTGTCAGTTTTTATTATGTAAAAATATCACGGACAGAGAAAGAGTTTTTTGTAATGTCAAGTAAAGATCTTTTCATCTAATGATTCCGTCAACGTTTATATTTGGAGAATTCGACACTGTAACATTGTCAAAGATATGATGAAATTGAGAATATAACACGAAGATGTTGATTGTCGTAAGGATGGTCGCTTGTTTTACTTGTGAAAATTACCAAAAGTGAGAAACCTTTGATCTCTGAAGGAACTTTATGTTGATGGTTTACTTTTTAATACAAATGTATGGTCAGATAATTTGGTTATTTTTATTATATATTAAACGTTCACTACATAGAAATGAAAGAATGTCGACAACTCATTCATTGTGAGTCATTTGACAATATGGTGTTGGTTTAGATGAAGATTATTTTGTTTAAATTATAGAGTGACTTTAACAATATCACTAACTTTTAATACATAGAACATTTAACCTGCAACGATAGCAATTCTAAACTGTAAACAGGGCCTTATTTTAGTTTACAAATGTAAAGTTCGATGTTTGAAACAGGCGTAAAATTTTAGTTCAATGACGATTATTGTATGTTTGCAAGGTCATATGCCAATAAAAATATAAAATTTTATCGTGACATCAATTTTAGAATGTTAAAGTATTTAAATTCGTATGTGTTTATTTAACGTCTGTCAAGTCGCTTTAACTTTATAGAGAGGAAATGTAAGTACTGTGTATTTTCTGGCGAACAGGCGAAGTAAGAAACATATGGAAGAAATTAACAGGTTTTGTCAAAACCTTTGTAATGTGAAGGATTTTACTATTCGCGACTAAAAAGGTTAAATTTAGAGTGGGAAATATGTTCAGAAAGGATGTCCATGACGTCTGTACTGTATTGGTTAAATATGGAGGTTACACCATAAATGGAATGATATAAAGTTATTAAAATAACATGTACAACGTCATACGTATGTATGAACAGTTACATTGGACTATGAAAACTGACTACATTCTGACTCGAAAAAGCAGACTAAAGCTTACAATTGTTTGTGAGATGCTATACTTTTTAGCATTTCATAAATATTAATGTAGGGAGAGCATAGTTCTTTTGTTTGGCAACAATGCATTTTGTTTTTAAAAATTAGATTTGATAGGTATCCGGTAATTTGTTCAAGTACAAACAATGAATTTTAACCCTATAGAGGCCGTTGTTTCTCACAGGCAATAATCACCGAACGAGATGTGTAAGAACTTTTAAAAAGGCACGGCCCCCAGTGGGTTAAACAATCATGCGGAACAAATACATATAATGACATGCTGAACACTATTTATAAAGATACCGTTCATTTCAAGCCACATTTAAACCACGAGGCATCGTGGAAAGCAGATGTTGTTCATATGTGATGGAAGAAGACTTTGCACATAGACGACAAGTATAAAGATTTGTGATTGTGCAAAGCAAAATAAAGTTGTTGCCTTCAACTTTCCTCGAAGACAAGTTACCGAAACACGTCTCATTTGATTGCAGATGTATTTAAACGTTTTGATAAAAAATCAAGACCGCCAATATCTGAATGCTACTGAACAATGACATACCACACATATTTAAACATTTGAAAGCCACGATGTACAGATATATTCTATCGATATTACGTCTTAAATGTTGATAGCAGCAGCAAAGAGAAATTTGAAAGAGGAAAACCCTTATGAAATGTGTTACACACGTAGCTACTTGGATTAAAATCATGTATGAAAATAGATCCTACGGCTGGAAACTACAAATGTAAGTGAAAAAACTGACGATGAACGATAATTTGTTTTTGGATTTATCTCTATTGATCTTGTGAAAATCTCAATGGTTTTATTGATGCTACTGATTTTGGTTTGTTTCTTCAATGTAACATAAGTTATAACTGAATATATGCAATGAATATAAATACACTAAATTTGCCATCTGTCTCCAATGCACTATGTGGATGAGTGCATAGAAGTGCAGTTATCGTAGATTAAGGTGTAGACTTGCAACAAATGAGAGCCGTAACTGTTTTTTTGCTCATTTTTCTACGACTCTCTACTATATTTTTAGTAGTAGAGCCTCGGGGAAAACAGAACGCCCTTAAATTCTCTCCTAACCTTAACTTAGCAGCATATGATTGCAAGATTCAATGAATATATGGAAAAAATTAAGGTCCAGTTTATAAATTCATTATCGTCTCATGTATCTTACCCCACAACATCATGCATATTTGCTTTGCATAACGACATTAAAACGCCAAAAAATTGTAGATTCTGATGAATTTTTTTATTTAAATACGTTGAAGGATAATTACTTATTGTCTTTGTGAAAGGTGAAAAGCTCCTAAGGAGCCAATCACAATAAAAAATTTTATTCATGACAAAAATTAAACAAATTTTAACAACGGAAAACTAGTCATTTAAACGTAGTAGAAAGTAATGTTAATTCTGTCTCTTTACTGACGAAGTACTAAAGTATGAGTTGCATGGAATAATCAACTAGTCTTAATGGTAGGCCTCGTGATATGAAAGCTTTCAATGTAAAATGCTTTAATAACGATGTAAAGCCTTTGATCGTTTGAAACTTGTTACATCTTTCAAACTTAACCGGCTAAAGCGATTCATGCAATGTTGGTGAATGTTTTACTATTTGGATAGTCAAACAGAAACTATATAACAATTTGCTCATTCTCAATATATCTGATTAAGAATTTAAAAACGCAAACTGACGTCATATGTAGAGTTCTTCTTCTTGAAATGTCGTACATAAGTTTCATATTTTCTTATATTGTAGATCCCACATGGATAGAGTTGTGAAAGTCCCGTTACCTCTTGTGTCATTCACTTCAATTACTCTTCCTAGTTTGTCATTACTCATGTGTCATAGTGATTCATGGCCAAAAATGTTCATTTGGAGTTTGGATTCTTTTTGGATGTCAGTTGTTTGTTCATATAATGATGATGGGCCCCATTATTATATGAACTCACCTAAAGGTGATCAGCTGACATTCATAGAAGATCAAATCTACACTAAGCATTCTTTGAGTGATGATATAACTGGAGAATTTGAAGCGACCCATTTTCCTTCACTTGAAGTTACCATAAGTGCATTGTAAACAGTAATCTATCGAAATGGTGATTCATAATATCAGTAGCCCCTTTATTGGTTACGTCAATTGCTTTGTGTATGGAATGGTATGAACATATTGAATGGACATTGCATAACGGCATATGTACGTGTAAACAATAACATTGAAATGATTGGACTATAATCTACGAAGATGGAAAACAAGCGAGTGGAAAAACATGATCCATGTCTTGTGGTATGTAAGTTGAATAGATGAGTATTAAAATTACTCATAGCTATGAGTAACTGCATGTGCTATTCAAGAAGGATCCTGATGGTTTATTTTTATAATTTGGACTATAGTCATAAAAAACACCCATATTAGCTAAAAAACAAGTCAATAAAAGGTATCAATTGCTGTGAGATAATAGCCGGCTTTCACTCGCTACTTTTTACTAATTTAATTAAACATTTATAAACAAAATTGCAATGCTGCAAGTAGGGTTCATTGAATTTTTAAGATAAAAATGTTACGATATACACGTAAAACTGCGCTGTGAAAAAGTGGAAGAGACATACTAAGACGCTTGGATCAGACGGACCAGAAGAATGCTTGAAAATCCGGTATTAAAGTTTTATTCTTTTTAAAATATATAATTTCTGGTTTTATTCATTCATAATGTGTTAATGTGGTTAATTCATGTCATTATGCTGACATTTATAATGTGTTTTTATAGAGTAATTATGTCTGTAGGGTAATAACTAGACATTGAATGAACGATCAAGTTGGACAAAGGTACGAAGAAACAACCTTCCTTATTGAAAAATCCCTGTTTGCGACTTTCATTATGCATACTATTAATCAGTGTAACGCATTTATAAATTCAACCGTTAAAATTTCCGTAAAACTAAATTTTCACAATTGTCAAATTTTCGGACAAAATGTGTATAAAGTCCGTCTGGTGACGCGAAGCGTTTTCGTATGCTAGCATAAACACAAGCAGGAAATGGTCTTCGATGTTTATTCCCTAAAATTTGAAAAATCCCCCTAGAACATCTTTGATTTGCGACTAATCGATACAGCTTGTGTATTCTCTCCAGATCCTCATCAGACAGAGGCCAGTTTTCTTCAAGATACCGACACACGTCTATCTTTAACACACTTTCTGACATCATATTGTCTCTAAATTCTAGGTGTGTTGTCAAACAATACTCTCCTTGAGTTTCTGTTTGGCCTAGCAAAGCCTCATACTCAACGTATTCAAGCGCTCTTTCGTGGCAACAAAGACACTCGATTGCCTTTTTCGACAAAGTACAATATTCACACTTACACCAACTAAGAGTTTGAAGGCGACAAGCATTTGCTCTCTCAAATTCAGCATCTATTTCATCCTCCGACGAGGACAAGTCGCTCTGCTCACTCTCCTGTTCGGAACCGCTTTCTTCACTTGTTTCGGCTTGCACTTCAGGTTCATGTTGATAGAGCAGAGCCTCACTCGGTTGATTTTCGTGTATGTCATCCATGACAGCAAAAAGCCCCGTAAAATACGCTTTAAATGTGTTTACTTCTCACCAGCCAATGACGTCACTACCGCTCGAGATAATTTTATTAAAATTTTATCCAAGATGGCATAATTTATAAAACTTTGGCAAATATCTCAGCAACAAAATATTTTTGAAAAAATTTTTTGCTGTTTTAGTTGTTTGACATCACAAAGGCTCAAATGTATGCCATAAAAATTTTCGTTGCCAATGTCCGTTAAGTAGTACCAACTATTCTCTGACTATAGCTGGTGATCTTTGGTTTGAAACTCAAACTTTGACGAAAAATGGCCATTTGGATCGATATTTGGATACATTTTGGCCTATTTTCTATTCTAAAATTTTTCGGAATCATATTGTTAATTTATTATAAAAGTCTATGTAAAAAACATAAATCTGGTGAGAACCATATAAGGACAATGAACATGATCGTTAACTACATTTCAGCTGTATCCAGTTACAAGGAAGTGAATCAGAATGATCTCGTGACGAACCCATCCTTTACAATTGAATGATGTGTACATCACTACCACAGAATAGATATATACAGAAGCGCCACTCGATGTCGGAGCCTTTGATGTTCGTGTCCGCAGCATCCGGGCAACTTTACACGGCGGCCATGTTTCCAGCCAGATAAATGCAGCCAGATCGCAATATAATATATAGTTCTACGGATGGGTTTTGGCAAATAAACCCAAATATTTCTATAGATTGGCCATTTTTTAAATATTTTTTTGTGTGGATACAGTTAACACATCAAGCTCTCAACAATTTATCATTAATTCGACGTCCGTTTTGATAAATGAGGGTTTATTCGGAATATTTACAAAGTAGATATGTATCTGACGAGATGCGTACTCGGTATATGGTTTGTCGTCAGTTTTAATTTTATCATATAAGAATTCTACAGAGAATCTTGAAGACATTTGTTCTAACATTTGAAATCTCGGTCGTGGCTGAAACAAGTGACAAATCAAATTATCCTCCAGTTAAGTTTATATATTGCAAACAACGTTTGGCAGGACATTCGAATCACCAAAATTGTCTACCCAGGTGTTTTAAACTATCAGAAGCGATGCTGCATGGCCACTATGAAAGTCATCTGATGCCAAAATATTTTGTATTCATCACAGTTGTGACTTGTGAAGCTTGAATGACTTTTTGAGCAAGTTGGAACATAAGCAGCAGCATGTTGGCCTCCACCAATAAAGTGCTTGAATAGCAATTTGTAAAACATATACTGCCATATGGTCCACATGATTTAACTTTGTTATTTCTGCCTTTTTAAATTCAATCAGGAGATTATTTATATATTTGACATGGATGCTTATTGATGATGTGAGAAGTGAACATAAAAAAGCTTCCTGAATGCTTTTGTGAATTGGATTGGTGTTGGCTTGGCAGTTTCCCCCTGTCAAATGTTTTAAAAAAGTTTTCTGGTGTATCTGTGTTTCACCTTTTGGTAAACATTTTACTGTGTAAAGTATTACGATTTAAATAATGGCATTAAGAGTAACTATAACTGGTTTTTGTCAGAATAAGTTCTGTTTGTGACATGATTACTTACAATAAAAATTTTAATTTACTGAATGAAGTTTATGACCCTTTGTTGCAATAATTTCTCTCTGCTGGTTGATCAATGCAGTGAATCAAACATAATTCTAATCATTTTCACATACAATTGTTGGTCACAACTCACAAGTGAAGTTTAACCAAAGAGGTAAGCTGTAGGAGCTTGACAATATGTTTGACATAATGGTAAAGTTGTTAATTTAATTGTAACAATTTATCAATAACTTCATTCTTTAAAAAATTGTAATTTCATATATTGTTTATTAAAAATAAGGCAACAAAAAACATCTTTATTTGTAAGTTAATACAAATTTGACAGACATGATAGCCACAGGAACTCAATATACAATTACAAATAAAAACTTTCAATTACAATTATGCAGACAAGCTACATTGCAAATAAAAAGCCCCGATTCAAGAATCAAATATAAATTAGTTTAGTCCAAATTTTATACCAATAACGTCTTCATCTGAAGAACGTTCTTTACGCACAGTAGGTCGTTTTATCGCTTCTATCAAATCCGTTGACCATTCTAATAGGAAACTCTTTACTAGAAAATACATAAATGGAATCACACTAAATATATTTATTACTTTTGTCCTAAATTATAAATTCTTAGGGCAACTGCCGTTCAATATAAGAGACGTTCTAAACATGGATCTCGCATACAATTCAAGGCAAGAAACTATAAAACCCGTAAAATTATATTTGAAGAACGTATTTTACAACAAAACTGTTTCTCACCTCATATGCTTGGTATCCTATCCGATGGCATTAAAAATTTTGTCCATAAGTGAATTTAAATTCGTCAAATTTTCGAAAACAACTCTTCATAATATTAATCTATATACATTCTGGCCAGTTTATCTGGCTGGAGTAATGGCGGACGCAAAAGATGCGCACTTAAGAACTGGGTACAAGTAGAGACAGATTTTTCGCTGAGTGGCGCTTCTGTATATATCTATTCTGTGTCACTACCGTGAAATTGGCACCACATTGGCACCACATTCAACACAACACTCATCACAACATTCATCACCACATTCAACTAAAATTTATCATTCAAAATGATAAATCGAAAAATCGTCTTTAAAACACGTTTTCCTTCAAATACGACAGTAAAAGACAATTCTTAACTGTTTATTACTATTTTACAGTCCTTAACCATCACAAAAAATGTATAAAAGTCAAGAAATTGAAGAAAACACTAAGATTTATATTACAAAGTACTTTCCATTTCTCTTAATTAGCCTATAATTTAAAAACTACACGGTAGAATTTTTTTAAACTTGGCCAGAATATAGATAATTATATTGTCTAAAACATATCCAAAATCAGGAGGTGGCACAAAAAAATAAATAATAGAAAATCATCGACATAGTTAGATGACACGAATTCGCGTAATATAATCTTATATAATTAGGTTGAGAATTTCAAGTCATTGCTAAACAAAGGCTTGTAAATAAAAACTACACGGTTTTTTTTAACTTGGCCATATTGTAGATATTCTTATTGTCTATAACATATCTAAAATCTGGAGGTGGCACAAAAAAATAAATGATAGAAAATCATCGACAAAGTTAGATGACACGAATTCGCGTAATATAATCTTGCATATTTAAGTTAAGAATTCCGGTTCTTTAACAAACAAAGCCTTATAAATAAAAAACCACAGGTTTATAATGCTTTAGTATATTTATTTTTTTTACAATTACAAATCAACACTTACAGTTCATCAGCAAAAGTCTTCATTTTTCTCTTCCACAGTATGTTTTTGTTGATTTTGAAGAATTTAATTGTGTTAACAACGGTTACAATTGGAATATCCATGGAGAGATTTTTTTCTGAAAATGTTATTTATGTATACTGAAAGTAAATCAAAATACGTTATTGCAATAATTGTTGGAGAATTGAATTTGGTTTTCGGCAGATTTTAGCAATTACGTACTTGGCTTAATTAATGTGCTTTTACAGGTACATACCAGTAGTTTGAGGCACAAGTGGAAGCGGCTATTTTGTGCTGATCATTGCACTTCAAAATAAATAAAACTTTAAATACTGTTGTCAGCCAAATACGCATGTCGTTTGATTTAAAAGTTAGACGCCTTTGTTTCCAATAGAACAGGAACCGCTACTTATTTACATATTACGGACATCTGTAACCATACATCAACGATGATTTTCAATAATGTTATAGACAGATTTTGGATATGTTATAGACAATAAGAATATCTACATTATGGCCAAGTTTAAAAAAATTCTACCGTGTAGTTTTTTATTTACAAGCCTTTGTTTAGCAATGACTTGAAATTCTCAACCTAATTATATAAGATCATAGTACGCGCATTTCTGTCATCCGACTTTGTCGATGATTTTCTTGTTAAGATACGAACATTTAACGAAAAGATATAAACAATATAGTATTAAGTAGATATGACACATGTCATATTAAGTGACATTCAGAACTTGTCATGGTAATATTGTTGTTCGTAGATACTTAACTTGTTATTTTGTTCAAGAATAAAAATCCTAATATTTCATACATTTTCCGAGCGTTATTGCAGAATCGCGAATAATTTAACATTTCTATCATTTATTTTTTTGTGCCACCTCCAGATTTTGGATATGTTATAGACAATAAGAATATCTACAATATGGCCAAGTTTAAAAAAATTCTACCGCGTAGTTTTTTAGCTATAGAGCTGTTTGTCGAATGTGGTGCCAACTTCACGGTTAATACCAGAGTACATTCTCAAGGAATATTATTTCTTTTATTTTTTTGTGCCACCTCCAGATTTTGGATATGTTATAGACAATAAGAATATCTACAATATGGCAAAGTTTAAAAAAATTCTACCGTGTAGTTTTTTATTTATAAGGCTTTGTTTATTAAAGAACCGGAATTCTTAACTTAAATATGCAAGATTATATTACGCGCATTTGTGTCATCCGATTTTGTCGATGATTTTCTACGATTTATTTTTTGTGCCACCTCCAGATTTTGGATATGTTATAGACAATAAGAATATCTACAATATTGCCAAGTTTAAAAATTCTACCGTGTAGTTTTTTATTTACAAGCCTTTGTTTAGCAATGACTTGAAATTCTCAACCAAATTATATAAGATTATATTACGCGAATTCGTGTCATCTAACTATGTCGATGATTTTCTACGATTTATTTTTTGTGCCACCTCCAGATTTTGGATATGTTATAGACAATAAGAATCTCTACAATATGGCCAAGTTTAAAAAAATTCTACCGTGTAGTTTTTTATTTATAGGCCTTTGTTTGAAAAATTACATGGATATAGGAAGTTAATTATATAAGATTATCTTACGCGCATCCGTGTCATCCGACTTTGTCGATGATTTTATATAACTTATTTTTTTGTGCCACCTCCAGATTTTGGATATATTTTTGACAATATAATTATCTATATTCTGGCCAAGTTTAAAAAAATTCTACCGTGTAGTTTTTTATTTATAGGCCTTTGTTTGAAAAATTACATGGATATAGGAAGTTAATTATATAAGATTATATTACGCGCATCCGTGTCATCCGACTTTGTCGATGATTTTCTATAACTTATTTTTTTGTGCCACCTCCAGATTTTGGATATATTTTAGACAGTATAATTATCTATATTCTGGCCAAGTTTAAAAAAATTCTACCGTGTAGTTTTTAAATTATAGGCTAATTAAGAGAAATGGAAAGTACACTGTAATATAAATCTTAGTGTTTTCTTTAATTTCTTGACTTTTATACATTTTTTGTGATGGTTAAGGACTGTAAAATAGTAATAAACAGTTAAGAATTGTTTTTTACTGTTGTATTTGATGGAAAACGTGTTTTAAAGACGATTTTTCGATTTATCATTTTGAATGATAATTTTTAGTTGAATGTGGTGATGAATGTTGTGATGAGTGTTGTGTTGAATGTGGTCCCAATGTGGTGCCAATTTCACGGTAGTGTGTACACATCACAGTACGATGTAAGACAAAATTGAAGAAATATTTTAATATAAAACTGTGACTCTACGTTGTGGAACGAAAAAATAAATGTGGAAATGAAGAAATAGTCGTTTTGGTCATATTTGGTGAGTAAAATTGTAAAAAACATTGATTTAAAGCGGTATTGTTTAGCTACTTGTTGTATTTTATCAAAGGTTTGACTAAATGGCAGAATATCCGTCCACTTGGATTCATTGACAGTACATCAACATTTTCAGTAGATACACAGATGCACGTGTAAGGTTTGACTAAATGTCAGAACACTTGTCCACTTGGATTTATTGACAGTTCATCCACATTTTCAGTAGATACACAGATACACATGTAAGGTTTGACTAAATGGCAGAATACTCGTCCACTTGGATTTATTGACAGTTCATCCACATTTTCAGTAGATACACAGGTACACATGTAAGGTTTGACTAAATGTCAGAATACTTGTCCAGTTGGATTCATCAGACCTGCCAATTCTCTCGCCGGGAGACTCCCTTTGCTGCATTTTCCCGACCTCCGGACAAAGATACTAAATCTCCCGGTTTTTTTAAAGCTTAGGCTTTTAGAAGTTTGTTGGCATTTTTATTCATCGCATGGAAAGAAATACTCGATGAATAGCATTCAAAACATAACGTATTGTAGCCGCGGTGCGCCGGAAATGGGCATGACATTGATTTTCGTTTTTTCGTATAATTATGTAACACAAAATGGCTGCCAGCTAAAATTTTTGTGCATAACACTTGAGGTAATCATTGCCTTTTGCCTAATAAATCAATCTAAAAATATGTCGTATACAAGAATAGAAAAATCCAGTTTTTTTGCCAGATCTCCCGGTTTTTCTGCATTAATCTCAAGGTTTGTGTTCCTTGGGGTTGGCAGGTCTGGATTCATTGACAGTTTATCCACATTTTCAGTAGATACACAGATACACATGTAAGGTTTGACTACATGTCAGAATACTTGACCACTTGGATTCATTGACAGTTCATGAACATTTTCAGTAGATACACAGATACACATGTAAGGTTTAACTACATGTCAGAATACTTGTCCACTTGGATTCATTGACTGTTCATCCACATTTTGAATAGATATACAGATACACATGCAAGGTTTGATTAAATGACAGAATACTCGTCTACTTGGATTCATTGACAGTGCATCCACATTTTCAATAGATACACAGATACACATGTAAGGTTTGAATAAATGACAGAATACTCGTCTACTTGGATTAATTGACAGTTCATCCACATTTTCAGTAGATACACAGATACACATGTAAGGTTTGACTAAATGACAGAATACTCGTCCACTTGGATTCATTGACAGTGCATCCACATTTTCAGTAGATACACAGATACACATGTATGGTTTGCTAAATGTCAGAATACTTGTCCACTTGGATTCATTGACAGTTCATCCACATTTTCCGTAGATACACAGATACACGTGTAAGGTTTGACTAAATGTCAGAATACTTGTCCAGTTGGATTCATTGACAGTTTATCCCCCTTTTTTAGTAGATACACATGTAAGGTTTGACTACATGTCAGAATAATTGTCCATTTGGATTCATTGACAGTTCATCAACATTTTCAGTAGATACACAGATACACATGTAAGGTTTAACTACA